GACAGGGCTGTCAGAGAGACCGTGTCTCAGGGGTCAGTACCTGGACAGGGCAGTCAGGGTGACCGTGTCTCAGTGGGTCAGTGCCCGGACAGGGCAGTCAGGGTGACCGTGTCTCAGGGGTCAGTACCTGGACAGGGCAGTCAGGGTGACCAGGCCCAGCAGCAGCTCCAGGCAGTAGAAGACCAGCAGGACGGCGTTGAGCAGCAGCTCCAGACGCAGCACGAAGGTCTGCAGCAGCAGGAAGTAGACAGAGAGAACAGCGCAGGGAACCAGCAGCCCCACACTGAGCCCCAGCGTTAGCGAGTGCTGACACAGGTTCCCCTTTGAGCCTGAGGACACAGGACACACAGCACACAGCCTGAGGACACAGGACACACAGCACACAGCCTGAGGACACAGGACACACAGCACACAGCACACAGCCTGAGGACAAAGGACACACAGCACACAGCCTGAGGCCACAGGACACACAGCCTGAGGCCACAGGACACACAGCACACAGCCTGAGGGTCAGACATACACACAAGGACATACAGCGTGAAGGTCAGACACACAAAGCATAAGGGTCAGATACACACACACACACACACACACACACACACACACACACAGCGTGAGGGTCAGACACACACACAGGACACGCAGAGTGAGGGACAGACACACAGGAAAGGCAGTGTGAGGGTCAGACACACACCCACAGCGTGAGGGTCAGACACACACGCAGGACAGCGTGAAATTCAGACACACACACAGCGTGAGGGACAGACAGACACACAGGACACACAGCGTGAGGGACAGACAGACACACAGGACACACAGCGTGAGGGTCAGGCACAAACACACAGGACACACAGCGTGAGGGTCAGGCACAAACACACAGGACACACAGCGTGAGGGACAGACACACACACAGCATGTGGGTCAGACACACACACACAGGACACACAGGGTGAAATTCAGACACACACACACAGGACACACAGCGTGAGGGTCAGACACAAACACACAGGACACACAGCGTGAGGGTCAGACACAAACACACAGGACACACAGCGTGAGGGTCAGACACACACAGGACACACACACACACGTAGACTGTGCTCCTGACCGTAGAAGAGGCGCAAGATCTCCAGTCCCAGGAACAGGAACAACAGCACCAGGTCAAGGGTCAAGTTTGCAGGGGGATAGGGCAACAGGACTCCTGCACAGAGAGAGGGGGGTTACTGTATATAACACCCTTACAGAGAGAGAGAGGGGTTACTGTATATAACACCCTGAGAGAGAGAGAGGGGTTAGTGTATATACACCCTAAGAGAGAGAGGGGTTAGTGTATATAACACCCTGAGAGAGAGAGAG